AGTATTAAAGAACGAAGGAAGAATAAATGTTGATCTTCGGGCTTGCTGACACCCTATTAATTTGAGAAGGATCCTTTTCTTGCTTTCGTCCTAGTAGAAAAGTTAGCAATTGCAAGCACTACAGTATTGCTGTGACAAGTGGGGAAAATAGCCCTTTAAGAACCTTTCTAAGATGTCTGCCTATGATGAGGCATTTTTTCAGGCTGACTGCATTTCATTCTTGTATGAAGTGATAAATCCCCAAATTTCTAAGTTTGCTTTGCTCTTTGAAGATGTCACCCCTGATCAAAATACGCAAAGGGATTGATCCTGAGATTGAGATGAACTGAGCAGTGAAAGGCAAAGGCTTCCTGGTAGATGCTGCAGTACAATGCATGTCTAAACAGATTCTGATTTTACAACTTTACAGTAATGTCTGTGTCCTGCCAAAGGTGAGATCAAATCCAAGATGTCCTTACCATTGAAGAAACCGAGAATTTGTCACTCATGTGAAAGCAAGAGACAAATGCACACTGTTACCTGTAGAAATGCACGGTAGTCTGCCATTGTATGTCCTAGGCAATCTTTCCATCCCTTTTGATTGGGCAATGGATAAATAATGTAAAAGTTTCCTTCCACCAATCCATATGTTTAGGAGAATTAAGCTACTTTTATTGGCATGAGCAATGCTGCTGCAACACTATAGTGTTGCTGCTGCAACACATGGCTTTGGTGTGAAAGAAATCCATTTATTATTTTAGCAAACAGATACTTATGATGATTTTTGGTGCTGGATAGCTGCTGTGGTTCAGGCGCTTTTAAAATCACAGCCAGATACTGACCTGGCTGCTAGAGCCTGTTTTGGTGTAACCACAACTTTCTGCTGCCATTTCTCCTATTTTCTGCAGTTGGAGAAATATGAGACTCTTCCTTGTCTTTGTTCAACTCCTCTCCTGACTTGCCTCCCAATACACTTTTGCTTGGCTCTAGAAGGGCTGGGCTACATCGCCCTGGAGCTAGTCTGTTAAATTTAGTGGTCCAGCCCTGCACTTTATAGTAGAAACTGCCTGTGCCGGATGGGAACATGACCTGCTTGAAATGCTGACATAGAAAAAAGGTTAATTAAATAATCTATTTCATTTTATTGTAATAGTTTGGGAATTGTTTCTGTGAGAAACAGGAAAAAATACTTCTCCTTAAATTCTGAGACTCAGAAACTATCTTCATTTGACTGTTTCTGTGTGGTTGAACTTTTATTGTGTTTTAGGAAGGACATAGTTCTGCATTTGTCTTAAAGCTTAGTTGAAATCCAGGATTGCCTGGATAAAAACTGGTGTAGTTATTGCTCAGTTCACAATCAATCCTGTAATTAGGCTGGAATGATTTGTCGTATATGGAGCTAAAATGAAATAGAAGTTGCTGACCTGACACCGAACCCACTAGGTAGTAGTTATTTCTGTATAATTAGGCAGACAACGAAGCTCACATCATGTGGACTTCAGAACTGATGAGCTTGTTTGGATATAGAACTCACACCTCTCGTTTTACTGCATTTTCTAGTATGTTTGTGTTAAGATTTTCTCTTCTTGGTCTTCCCCAAATACTCTCCCTGCCAAAGCACAAACAGCTGTGGTAAAAGTTTGACACATTGTGTGTCTGAGGACCTATGCAGATGGGCAGGCTTCCTAGCTCATCCTAGTGCTGCTGGGAGGCTGTACGGCATATCCTACAGCCTCCCTCCAGTAGGCAATTGTATGATGAATTTGAGCATGCATTGTAGGTACAGTATTTTCTGCTGGAGTCTCCATTTCCTTTGTATGTGCATGAGCAATTTCCCTGTCTGCTCCTGGAGGAAGGAAAAAAGGGTGCTGAAAAAGCGGAAGATTGCTATTGCTAAAATAATTCATGCAACCTGGTCCCTGAGCTGCCGTTTATCCAGGTGCAGCTCTGTGCTGACTGGAAGTGTGCTGTGGGCTGTCTAACTCATTCTGGTCACCGCCCTTCCCAAGGTATGGACAAGAATATGTGGCACAGGTACTGTTATCTGGTTAGAGGTGAGAACAACGAAGGGATATTGTGAGATGAATTATCCTGCAGGCTGCTGATTGAGAAACTTGCTTCGTATAAAAGGGACTGAAAAATAGGCCTTGCTAATATATATAGATATCTTGTGTGCTTTATATATCAGTTATTTACCTGTAGACATCTGATATCTGCTTGCTGTGGAGCCATGTTTTGTGTGCCTAAATTTACAAATGTCAATCTGGGTGAGCATACATGATTTTCATGCAGTCTGTAGTTCTTTAATATTTTTAATACTATCAAATAGGGCAGGAGCATTGTCTTAAAGTGATGGGATGCTGAGAATTAAAAGATTATTGGCAGTTACAATATCTGTAACAGAAACACAGAATGGAATTTCATGTATGTGAATTTCCAGAAATTAATATCTGATGGGGAACAGCTTTTGGCTTGTTAAGCATTACTTATTATTTAATCCACACAGGATTTGTCTAATAAGGAGGTGTGTATTTAACATGGCAAAATTTTGTGTTGCAAGTGCTTTATGGATTTTGAAGAAATGCTTTTCGTTATTTTATGTGATGACAGTGTAGGAGAAAAATGGATACATACCTGATGTTTGGGTCCTAGTCAGTCCAGTGAGATTGAGGATGGCTGTGTCCAAGTTTTTCTTTTTCTCTCTTGGCTCTGTGCTAAAGCCTAAACATTCTGGCTTACAATAACTATCTTATACTATTTTATACTGATTTGCTCATTGACCTAGCATGATGCAATGCAGTCATACACTTTTTGAAATCCTTCTGCACAGTACAGTAATAAATAATTTCAATGCTGAAGTATAAGATTTTATTATCCTTAATTTAGTGTGAATAATTGGAAGTGAAGGGTATCTTTGGGTATATTAATAAATGAGATCCCAGTCTCCAAGGAATGAAAGGGTGACTTTAAACCTTGAACCATGAGGAATGTCTCACATCCAGCATGGAATATATGCAGCACGTAGTTGTCTGAAAAGACATCAAACTCACCTCTGTATTGTAAAAGCATACCAATTATGGCGAAGTTTTTTATTGGATTATGTTTCTCTTAAATTTTAAAATTGAATGCATCATTTTGTTTGGCTGAATGTGCTATGCTTTTTTGGTATGTTCATTGACGAGGAATTAGCTGGAGTCAGTTATACCAAAATGACCAATGACTTTAAGATCATCTAATCCAACCCCCTGCCACATGCAGGGACATCTTTCACTAGATCGGGTTGCTTGAAGCCCCATCCAGCCTGACTTTGAGCACTTCCAGGGATGGGGACCCACAACTTCTCTGGGCAACTTGCTCCAGTGCCTCACCACTCTCATCATAAAGAATTTCTTCCTTATGTCTGTTGTAGCAGTTCATTGACACGTCTGTAGAAGGAAGGTTGGCAATGTGGATTGTCTGTTTCCAAGCATACCAACACTTGGTCTAATGCTTAGAGAGAGGAACAAGCCCTGGTGTCCCACTGCTTGCTAGCAGCCATGCCGCAGAGCTGTGTTAGGCGTACAGAAGTGTGCTGCACACTGTGGCAGCGCTGGGACCAGCCAGTTAGCTGTAGCATAGGCCCTGACAAGCCACTCAGTTCAGATTTTAGAAACCGCTTTCCTGTTAGGAGGATATTTTGTGAAAAGCATTCAATATCTAATTCAGTGAACTCGTCAGTGGAAACAACCTCCAAGAAGGAAAGGGCTTGGATGGCGATACAGTAAACATTCTTGTTTCTGTAGTACCTCTTTGCTGTTTACAGGAGGCATTGATTTTTGTCTCTCAATGTTTCAGGAAGCATTCTCTTCAACTGCATGTCTTTGGAGGCTGACAGAATTACAGAGCAGCAGGAGAAAGTACTGTCAATCCTAGAGGAAAAGTTTCCAGATCTTCCCCCCCGAGAGGAAATTATCTCGGTTCTCCAGGAGAGTCAGTTTAACCCACAAGGTAGTGCAACTTGCTTCTATTTTTCAGACCTTTTACAAATTTAAGTATGTAACTGTATCAGAATGTATCAGCTCATTGTGTGTGGTGAAAATAGTTGCAGCATGCTATCTTCATTGAGAGTTACCTGTGTTATATTTAATTTTAAATTAAGTGGTTTACATTCTGAATCATGGAATTGTGATTTTTGTTGAGGAACTACTGAACTCCTAAATAATCTTGTGTTGCTTTAACAGATAAAGTAAACGTTAATTTATTTCATATATTGCTTTTACAAGTGTATGCTAGTCAAGAATTTGCGTTGATGAAGTATAGGGGCATAATCAATGTGTCAGCCCACGTGCAGAAATTGTGCTGCCATTGCCTACATGGTGTGGGAGTGGATTTTATCTTCCGAACCTTCTTAGATTTATGGAGGGCTGTGTACAGGTGAAGTGAATTTGACTTCAGACCAAGATTAAGGAAGCAGTGGGAAAATTGCAATTCTTTCATTTCCTTCTGCTAGAACTAGCTGAACTAGTTGTCATTTTTTTCGGTGATCAAAAGTGGGAATGTCTGAAAGCAAAATTTGGTAGCAGGCTTTTGAAGGGAGGTTCTAAAAGCCTGAAGAAAATTGTTGCAATAACTCTCACATTTTTTACTGTCTGTTAAATGGCATTTGCTACCAAGTTGTTACCAAAGAGTGAGTATTGAGTTACTGAGATATTTCTTTGTTAGATATATCAGGTATGCACAGAGTCCATGCAGACTCATAGTCTTTTTTTACCGTTCTCTATCCGCCCATCTGCAGAATCCTCTATCTGAATTCAGACTGTCAGCCTGAGACGGCTGCCCTAACTGGTAGTTAAGGACAGAATTTGAGGTGCTGCTTCCTTTGCTCTTTCTTTCAGTGAGGTCACCAGCTAAATTAGTTCAGGGCTGTAAATCTTCACATAGTTCCCTGAAGTTCCTCCGGACATTAGTCAAGGAATCATAGTTCAGAGATGAACTGAATGCAGCCTGGATGGGAGAGACCCAGGTGGAGCTCAGTTCTTAGTTCTGCCAGTTGCCTGGGAAGATGGTTTAGTAATGTTTGTCGTGTACTTGGCCCATGAAGTTTACCCTAATACCAAACGCAAAACTTGGACAAGTAGATATAACAGATTCAGTCTGCATGGCATTGGCTGCCGATCATTTTTATATGCCACATAAGGAGGGTAATGTCATACACACTTTTTTTTGTCTCAGAGCTGCTCTTTGCTGTGTATTACAAGGTACATATTTAGCACTGCATATATTCATGTGGCATTTGTATTAGTAAGATGCTGTTGAGTTTCTGAAGTCCTTTGAAGACTCTAACCTCTGCTGAATATTTTACCTTATGTACCTGTTATTTCAGGCAGTATTAGGGCAATTCAGCAAAGTTGTTCTCAGTTTCATGCAGAAATAATGATTTATTGGCCCGAATTCATGAATTTGTGTTGTTTGAGGCACAGTGGGCTGTAGCCCACCAGAAAGTCTACAGGCTACCTATAAATATTTTTAAAAGGACAGACACATAAATATAATAAATATGTGAACATTAGCTAGTTCATCTTGTCATTAGATTGAATGCAGTAGCTGGACTCTATACAGGAACAGTAATGAGAGCATTCATTTCTTTGGCTTAAGTTGGTATTTGGCTGCCTCTTAAAAATCAGCCATGCGAACACATTTTGGACGTTACGCTGCTAAGCTTTAAAAGTCTGTGGACATTTTAGTTGCCACTCTGCACTGAAATAAGTGGCTTGCAGCTTTCTTTATATAGACATATGGCTATTATATCTGCATTTTTGATTGTGTGATGTGACCATGTTCCTATACATGATACATATTTATTTAGAGAATCTTTACAGCATTTTAGACAGACATGTCCCATTAAAGAAACTTAGTCACATGGATTTTCAATACATTGTACTTAAACATATCAACATGTCTGGTTGCAATCTGAAGCGATTCCAATTTTACACTGTTGTTTCTGATGATAATATGTACTTCTGCTTCTGTGGTACATAAACATCTAGTCGGTTCATTCACCATTTGATGCACGTAAGAAAAACGCATTGGTGTTGGTATCAATTTATGAGGAAGGTCAGAAAGGTTGAATGACTTTATGTTTACAGAATATCTTAAGTGCTTTGCTTCTGAATATTTTATAAATACCATAGTATTCCACATGTGCTTTTCAAAATATTGCTCATTCCAGAAGTCTTTCATATTAGTGATTTCATATAGGACCATAGGAATGCTCTATCTCTACATTTATCATCATCTGGAATTCAGTTTGGTTAAAAAATGTGAGTGTTCACACAACTTCATTGCAGGAGTCTTAATTCTTCATCCTTTGCTTCCCCCCATCCCTTTAAATCTCTTCCTTAAAAAAATCCCTCTAGAAACATTAAGCATTGAAATAGTAAATGTTGGTTTTCATTTTTTCATTGGATGTCCTAAAATACAGAAGGCTCAGCATTAAGGTCTAAGCTGTGTTTTTAATTTATGTTGCTGCATCTGGTCAGCTGTACTTGTATGTATTGAAATTCCTTTCTGTTCTCAAACAGGTGTAAGTATTGAGGAGGTTATGCTGAAGGATCTCAAGGAGATTTCAGATGGAGAAATCAAAGTAGCAATTAGCACTGTGTACATGACACTGGAGGTAAGAGGAAACCTAAACAACGTAGTTGGTAAACAGCCCTACTGCATAGGAGACGGTTCTTTAACAAAAATTTTGAGCCTGTTATTTTCTCAAGATTATATACGAGCAGAATTTTTCAGTGATTGAATTAACTTTGAGGGAAGCAGTAGCTGTTTGTAGTCTGACTTACATTGTTATGCATCTGATTATTCCTTCCTGTTAGCCTGTACCATGGTGTGTTAAAACAATGGCATCAGCAAATTGCAGCCTTTGGGTGAATTTAAGGTGTGAGCTTTTCTGTCTACCTACTTCAGAAGGTAGTTACTAACTAGGACTTTGTCCTACCTTTCACTTACAGTATGGCATACAACTTATAAAGCCACTCCAACTCTCTCGCAGCCTTTTTAGAGGAGGGCCTATTCTTTTATGCCTTCTATAAACCTACCTTGAAACTGTGTAATGACGTGTGTCCGTTGCCACATTGCCTAAAAGAAAATGTTGGTAGAATAGTTTGGGTTGGAAGGGACGTTTAAAGGTCATCTGGTCCAACCCTACTGCCGTGGGCACGGACATCTTCAACTAGCCGGTGGGAAACATCTGACACCCTGCACCGGAGTCAGGGCTTTCAAGAAACCTCTCTGTCGGGCCAGCAGCTCTGCAGCCTCCCCCCACCCTCCACTGCTGCATCGGGAAAGAGACAATCAGACCTTAGGCAGGGAAATGGGGTCCTGAAGGAGAAGCTCCTTCACCCAGCAGCGACCAGGGATGACCGGTGACAAGCTCAGCTCAGCTCAGCCCCCTTCTGAGGGCACCTGCTCTTGTCTAGGGAGCCAAGCCCTGTGTCCAAACCTCAGGTGTCAGGCACCGGACCAGTGCTGCGGCCTTCAGCAATACTGCTGGCCTGAGGGGAGACGCCCCAGGGCTTGCCCCCAACCTGACAAGAGGCGAGAGGAGCAGCACTGACCGTTTCTGCTACTGTACCTGCACAGAGGTATCCAGAAGGGGTGGAGCACACAGGAACCAGAACACCCTGCAGAGCCATGCATTGCTGCTGGATGATCTGTGCAGGTCAATGACAGCCCCTGAAAACTTTATTTTACTTCAGATGGCACTAAAAAAAATCACTTGAATAGTTCTTCCCTGTGTACATCCTATGAGATTTCTTACATATATCTTTTGTGATGCATTTTACAAAAAATAAGGTGCTTCTGTGGTTGAAGAAGTTTGTGGTACAATCCAGCTAATAATTATCCATAGATTTCTGCCTGTGTACTAAAATATAGAAAGCAAATTGGGTAGTAAAGCTTCAAGAAATGAAGCAGAATCTGTTAGTTTCTTGGTTAGTTTCTCAGTGTCGAGCAATCTTTACCAGCCACCAAACCTGCACTACTTCATGAACTATAATTTTGCTCCTGAAAATTATGCCAAGGTTGGGAGAAAAGGCGATGAGGAAAGAGTATTGTAAGATAAATCCCCAAAAAAGGAAATGGGATTTTTAAAAATTCTTAATAAAATCTTCCTCTTTTCATTTAAATCCTTCTCTTTTATTCTGTCAGTTTCAGTGAATGGTGGACACAAAGGGCTAGCAATTAGGAGCTAGCTTTAGCATTACATTTTCTTTTTATTTATTTTCCTTTTAATCTTGTTTAATAGACTGTAGAATGCAGACCTTGCACTCCACGGATCTAAGCTTCAGCTAAATGTGGCTGAACTCATCTTTACATCTCTACATATTCAAATTAATCATAACCTAAAACTTGTCTTCCTTTTGACAGCAACTCAAAAATTGAATTTGGCAAGAGTAGGTTTTCATAGTCCTAAAAGCAGGCAAATTTTCAAAATTTTTTCAGTGATTGTGTAACATTTGATGCTGACATACTTCGTTCAAGGAGTGTCAAGATCTGGTGGTCAAGCAATAAATGCTTCATAATTATTTTTCTTCAGACATACCTAGTAGCCATCGTGGAAGAAAAAGGAGATTCAGTTGCATGTAAAAAGAACAAACCAATTAGTGTTTTACTGGTTTTTAATCCCAATCTGTTAAGTAATTTTATTACTAGCACTTTTGATGGTATTTTTCTGGAAGTTACAGGTATCTCTCTTCATTTTTTGCTCTCTGTTGTTCTGCTGTGAATAGTTTCCTTCAGAAAGAGCTGATTTTTCAGGGCTGTAACTAGTTACAATGTTTACAAAGTCACACTTTGTACTGAGATTTCACAGTTGGGGTGGAGGTCAGTTTTACGTTTCCTGCATTACTGCCCTTTGTTCAAACATTTTCTGAACTCCCTGATTTACAGTGCTTGACCTTGCTCTTATTAGAGCCAGGGATGATATGGTCTGCGTGGTGGTAAGGGAGATAGCTTGTAAAAACATTCTGCGGTAGTTACTTCACCCACTATCAGAAACATAATACATATAAGGGAATTATAGATAAAACTGTCCTGACCTGTCTGTCTATTCAGTTTAAAATTCTGTTACACAAACTTTAATGACTTCAGGATTTTCTCAGCAGTAATAATGCTGAGTAATAATTTGTTATTCATCTTCAAAGTGCTCTACAGACGTTACCTGATAAAACATTAAGGGAACGTGAAGAGCAGGCTTGGCTTTGCTGCAGGTGTTGAATCTCTAATGTGTTTGCTTCTTCAGAAATCTCACAAGGTCAATTTTTTTTTTTTTAAATCAACAGGTATGCAAAAGTATCTTTCATTAAAGTGCTTTCTATAGGCTTGATTATTTGCCTTGGGTCAATGGTCTACCTTGTAGGCAATACTGCTAAAAACAAAGATGATGATTATACGATTATAGTTGTGTAGAGTAAGCTGTTCACAACCATGCATTCCCTGCTGCGTGTATCATGAAGAGTGAAAGTGTTGCAGCTCAACACTCAAGCTCTGATTTCAGTCAGTTTCACAACAGTAAAGGCAGAGATCAGTAAGTCTGATATTCTAACAAATGTCACACCTCAGTAGCACATGATTCTAAGTCATGTGATTCTAAGCCTTCCTTATTTCTGTTTTTATGGCAAATTTTACAGATCTTTACTGCAAGTAGATTCCGAAATAATTCTCTGTTCTTGAGAGGGTGGATGCTCCTTTTAGCAAAGTCTTGATCTAGAGCTAAGCTACTTTCCCCTCGCTACTGCTAATTTCCTATGTTAAATCGTTTCCTCAGTTTCCCCTCTGTAAATGAGGATATTAATCTTTTATTTCGTAAATGTGCCATGAATTTAAATTAATTGAAGCTTGTGTTAGATATGTTGCTATAAACCCTATTTTTATTAGTATTGATACAGATTTCCTAGTATCTGTGGGAATGTTTTCTAAGTTCTGTACTTTATAAGGAATGAAATTATGGTACCTAATAAGTCATCAGTTGTAAGTTAATACTCATAATTACTTTTATTGCATAGCAGTACTCAGACATGTAGGACACATGCAGGTACACTCCAGTTTCTCATAAAGACAGACATGAATGCAAAAATAGCAGTGCAAAGTGCAATGGATCTCAGTGCTTTATTTGTATGTACATACTGATACCAATCAACAGTGTGTGATTTACATCCATTGTTGGCTTTCTTGTTGTCAACTGACTGAGTTTTAAGTGTCTTGATAAAAGCGAATCTTTCAGATATTAAAGGAATAGACAGTGTTGTCACTAGTGATAAAGGCAGGGAAGGCATTTTGCGTGGATGTGTTTAGGTTTCTGTAAGAGTCTATATGCGGCTTTGAGATAACTGCCTTTGGATCTGGGCTTCCTGGATTTAGGTGGCATTAAAGCTGTAAGTTGAAATCCTGTGTCTCTAATGACTGGCTGCAGAGCGTATGCTACTTGGATTTCACATGCAGAGCAGCATTTTTTCAAGAGAGTGACAAACGAAAAGTGACAGTGCCCAGATCACAGTTATTTTTGTTGCCTTTGCCGGAAAGTTTCCCCAAGTCATAATAATGATTACTCATAGGATATTGTAGCAAAATGGAGTGCATGCGTTACAGTTAATTTCTGTTACATTATGTTATACCCTGAGAGTATATTTTGCTTATTCTCTGCTGGAATTCTCTTGGAAATGAGAAATATCTTCTCAATGTGACTTTCTGTGAAAGTCATTTTTTTCCTGAGAAAGGAATACTTCCTTTGTAAACTGAACTCTGTTCTCTGCTTAAGTCTAGTGCGCCAGAAGAACAATCCAGGTTTCATGAGTGTTCAGTTTAGATGAAATGGCTCATGATGTTGTAGCTTAATAACGTGTTTGTTGGACCAAGTCCTTAGTCTTTTGATTCATGAAAATGCTAACTGCTCACAGAACTTGCAGTAACTTAGGAAGATAGATAGAAAATCAAGTTTCTCCAGGCAGAAGCAGGGCAGTCAGTTGAAAACAAGGCAAAGAGTCTATGATTGTCTGCTGTGGGCTGCTACAGACAGGGGAACACGTGCGTTCTGAAGGCTGACCGATCTGTTGAGGTTCTTGTTCATATTTCTGGCCATGGTATCTGAATACTTCATAAAGACAGTTTCCGGGCTGTAGAGGTTGTATAATCTTTTAGTATTGTAAGCTGGAGCCACCTCTATGGGAGCGCCAATCAAGAGGTTTAGAGAAAACGTCAGAGCCTCAATGGAGGCTGCTGTCACCAGCGTTGTTGCCCCAAGAAAGTGACCTGCAAGTTCATGCCAGCACAGTGAGCTCAACTAACCTTAGGTAGCATCTAGTAGTCCAAATGAGTTGAGGATGGTACCAAGGGAAAGTTCTGGCTCTTGCAGCAACTTTCCTCTTTGTCCTCTGTGTGTCAGAGAAACTCGCAGTGGCTGTTCCAGCAACAGTAACTTAGGAAATTTAGAAATATTTGGGCGCACAGTGGATCTGCTTCCTAATGAATAAATAGTCTGATCTCAGAGACACGGTTTAATTTTCAGGCTGTTTTGTAGCAGTAGTATGACATGCAACTGTGTTACTAATTTGGACAATTTTATTTGTGTGTTATGAAAAGTGATGCTTTTAATACTTCTGTAAAGCAAATCTAGAA